AAGATCAGTATTGCATGCATCAAAAACATGCTCCAAATCTATTGACTGAAGAGTAGCATGACAGCACCACAGCTCCCCTTGGGAATGCCTTCTAAGTCGAATCTAGTAGGCAAAATAATCTAAGGAATGCTTTGTTTGAGATCTGACAAACAAAACCTCTTGGCAGCAATTACCTCTCTGCTGTTTTTTGGAATTCCAGAAAAAAGTAGACGTAACTAAAGAAATTCATGGGCAAAAATATCAGGCATGGATAGGACGCTATGCAAATGCATGTCATGTTGATACTAAGCTACGACTTCACTTCCTGTTTTGAACCTGCCTACATATGAAGCTCAGCATTAGTTTACTAACTAACTTCCAATTGAATTTGGATTCATTAGGGTGATAAAAATGAAGCCTCCTTATTGTGGGGAAGCTCCAAATTCTGGAGGAAGCCTACATAGCCTCCTCTTAGCAAAAAAGTCTAGCAAACACCAACTGCTAGGATAGAAATATGAGAGCTTGTGTGTGAATACAATATCCAAAACTGAGAGGGCACTTGCTCAGCATCTGTTAAGGATGAAAATAAAGACAACCACCAGCCACATTAAACAGTAACCAGCCAGTTACAATGAGACCTTGGGCAGACAAAGAGTCAGCTTAAAATCCAGGTATAAAAAGCAGCAACATTTCTAACAGCGAGATAACAGAAGCAATCAAAACCTGGTCTGAGACTGAGAAGATGCCTTCTCCTGGCACCTGAAGCTCTGCCGAGGCCTGAGGGACCCCCCTCCCCAGCAGCCTGGAGTGGCTTGCATGCCTGCCAGTGAGCTGACAGTGCAAGGTGCAACTAGAAATGACTGCTCCTGGGGTGTCCCCACAGGTGAGGGATTAGTGAAGCATGGGGAAGAACACAGGTCAGCACACAGCTACAGCATCCATAGCTTCAGAGACGATGGATGTAAATAGGGTAAGGTACTCCTAGAAGTAAACTTTTATAGCCCAAATCTCCTGTGAAAGTGATAGAGGTGACCATGTAACTGCAAACTTGTGGGGGATTGCTGGAGAGGGGTGTTTAGGTATCTGGAAGTGTTTATTAAGGTTTTCTAGCAGTACAGTACAGCTATTTTTATCTGGTATTGCTATTAATCCTGCACATATGGTCCACAGACTGAGTTAACTACAAGCTATTAATAAATGAATTCTACCTTAATTTAAGCCAGTTGTTTTCCCCTAGAAGCACATGCACTCTCTTCTCACATCTATATACAACCTTCAGCTAAAACGTAACCTTTTAATTATTATTTTTCCTTCACCTAAGGGCACCCAAGATATTCAGGAAATCAACCAACCAACCAACTACCTATACAGATCACATTTGCTTCACTCCTCAGACTACTACAATCTAATTACTACAGGAACTGTACCCCTACAAAATAACAGCTCCAAACCTGGACCAAAATAGATCAGGTCTTTGAAAAGTGGGTATTAATTTCTTAGGTTGGACCAATAAAAATCCAAAGTGTTTAACATACATGCTAGCTTCCTTAATGTGGCTTCTTAATCAAGTTGCTCTAGGGAATTTAATCCACCAGATCACATCCTTGCATAGGGAAATTCTAATTAAATACCATATGAAAGATTGACAAAGTTCAGTTTTAGCTCACTCAGGAGTTTATTTAATTTTGTAAGGTTCACTTCAGTACTTCTGATGATGATGCTTTCATAAATTAATCAAGAATCCCCTCTCCTGTTTGAACTTAAATTCTGAGTCTTTTAAAAGGAGGATCTGCACACGATCTGCAAAATCTAACGCTCATGTTACAAAATGTAGACTCACTAGCATCCTTATATTCTAAGTAGACTTGTATACAACTGCAAATTGGTATGTCCTGTCAAAGACACTGAACACACAAGCCCATTGATATGTGACTCAAATCCTCAAACCTTTTTGAGGTGCAAATATACTAATGTTCACTAAGTATAAACATGCCCTTTTAATAATTAAAAAAAAATATTAATAGGCTACCTTAGTGAAAATAATTATCTCCCAGAATTTTTTTTTCCATTCTTCTGTAACCAGGAGAAAAACACCCTGTATTATGCATCAGGATTTTTAAACCTAACTAAGCTTACATGAGACATTATGTCACCTTAGCAACTACTTTTTAGAATTAATTACTTTGCGAAAGCTGATTTTTAACATGCACAGAAGAGTTTAAAATAACTTATAGACCAGCAACTGGCAACTTCATTCTTCTTCATTACAATTTCAGAAAGCCATAAACATTTAAATCTGAAAAAGATAATAAGAGACTTACGTGACAAAAGCATCAGCTCATAGTAAACCTATTAATTCAAGTGCCATACAAAGAAAGTGTCTAGTGGAAAACAGTAACTAGAACTCCAAGAAGAAATACTACATTAAAAAAAATGCAGTTAAAAACACATAAGAGGGAGTTATGCAGATGTAGTCACAGCCAAGGTAAATGAAGCACTTTACCTGTCAGTTGCATGTCCCCCAGTTCTAAGCAACACTGCTCCAAGGCCGTATTTGTAACTCCTCACTTCTACTACTCCCCCTCAGGCCTTTTCCAAGTTAATCACAGAATGCTTTCAATTGGAAGGGACCTTAAAGTTCATCTAGTTCAAACCTCCCTGCATGGGCAGAGACACCTCCCACTAGACCAGGTTGCTCAGAACCCCATCCAACCTGGCCTGGAACACTTTCAGGATGGGGCATCCACAACTTCACTGTGCAGCTTGTTCAGTCGTCTCACCACTGAGACAAGTTCTCAACTTTCTTTTTTTAAATTAAGCGCAAGGAAGAAAACTACTCTTCTCTCTCTCCCTGTTCAGAAGATACATTCCCCCATTACCAAACCACATTCTTACCTATTTTACTGTTTAGGTATCCCACCCATGGAACACAGAATCAAAGAACTGGAAATCCTTTTGTCTACTGAGTCCTTCAATCAAGCACAGCAGGAACACTTCCCCAATTAACATTTACCCAGCATATTCCACCCCCTCATTCCCTTTAAAATATGAGTCACAACCACCAGCTCAAGCGACTAGAAATTAACCTACTAAAGCAAAAATGCATTAAGTCACACCCACTTGACACATAACTTCATAGAAAGCTATGTTTGGGAAACTGGAGAGTTTCTCCTTGAAATAAGTGGATTTTATTTAAGCCAGAGAACATCTGTAGAGAGATTCAGTGTCTTGTATGAAGTCCATTGATGTGCTATGAAAAAGGAGGCTTTCAGAGACACAAACTGTTCTTCTAGATTTATTTTTAAAATAAAGAGCTATCAAAGTTATCAGACCACTTAGAGCCTCCCCCCCTTTTTCCGGGAGGGTTGCTGTTCTTTTCTAAGCCAAATGAAAGATGAACTCATCCTCCATATGTATCATGGATTAGATTTGTAACCAAAAGCAGGACAGAAGAATCCTATTTTCCTTATGTTTTGTACCATCTCTGCCCATTTCTTAATCAAAGTCAAAGCTTGGTAGATAAAGAACCCAAATTAGGCCCTTAAATTGATCTCCTATCCAGGTTAATGCTGCATGAATAGGTTTTCTTAAACAGCACTTGTGTTACTTTGAAAACTGATCACTGGGTGCACAGCAGGAGATAACTTTAATATCTGTGTTAGTCTGAATCATAATTCAATAACCCTTGACAGAATTCTGCCTACCTTGCCTATTTGGTCTATGTCACACCATTCTTCTGTCACACTCCACCTGCTGGATAATCTTAAAACAAGCCTCAAGAAGTTTTCATTTTACCAGTATTGATACAACACCTAGACAGAAAAAAACCCCGGATTGAACAGTATAGCTGATTATATATTCTTCATGCATTTCCTTTCTACCATTCTTTATGAGGACTACAATGAAGTGAAATCTCTGGGTAGATATTTTCTTTTCTAAACCCCTTAGGTTAATGGGCCAGATTTGTAACTTGTCAATTTCTGCTAATGCAGTTCTACACAGGAAAAGTCACAGCTCCATGTCACACCTCATTAAAAAAAGTTTAACACTTTTCAGCCTCTGATAGTAGAAAAGCAGAAAGTAATGTGTAAATGTCATTCTTAACTAACATTTATGTAAAGCATATGACCTTAAATTTTTTAAATGTTATGAGCTGAATGAACAAGAAAAGAAGCCACCAACTTAAAAAGAGGACGAACTCCATAGATTTCCAATTCTAAGCTAATTAACTAATTTGAAAAGTACACATCTGAGTGCTATGTGACTCTTCTGCTTGCTACTCCTTTCAATAAATTAAGTCAAATCATGACACATAAATTCTCTTTGAGCTACGATGAAGTATCCAATTCCCTGTAGGGCTGAGCTCTACTATTCATATTCAGAAACATTTCTAGCTTTGGGGATGGTAGGAAAAGTAACTGAATTTGAGGGCTGCAGGTGAAGGGTAGCAAGATGAGATATTTTTATAATACAGAACTCAGTCACTTCCTTATACACAAGTCAAGCATTCACATATCAAGCAGTAATTGACACAAACTTTTTACCCATAATTTCCAACCCACAAACACCATAATAATTTAGATCTGTGTACTTTTGATATTTTCTCTTTCAGGATGTCTTAAAATACACTTGCCATCAAATACTATTCTTTATTATGGTCTATCCTCCTTTAGGAATAATTAAATAATGCAGGGTGATATACACTCTAGAGCTGCAAATCATACCTGGAGCAGTCTGTGATACTGAAACACTGGAAGAGGCATCATATTTGATAATTTAGTAATTTAATAAAAAGTTGGGAGATGTATTAACTTAGAATACTGTGCAAGTATTTATCCAAAAACAAAAAATTAACACCAGTTTACACAGCTCATGTTGTAGCACAGTGAAAAACAAAAAACCCCACCCTGAGCAGATTATTATTATTTCAGAATGTCATCACAAAATAAACACAAGAGAAGACTATCTCCAATGAGAAGTTTTGTAGAAGCTTCAAGACAACTGCTATTTCTGATTAAGAACTATTTTTTGTCTCTTGAAAGAAGTCCACCTAGTTTTGCCAGATCTCCAAGTGAAACTGTTGCAGAACCTCTTTGGGCTGGTTTTGCCTAAGGAAAAAAAAAAAAATACAGAGCATGCTGATTTTAAAACACCTCGTAAAAACCTTTTAAACCATTAGTGATTTTAAAAGTACCTTCAAAAAGAATAGTTCAAGTTTCATATTACCTGTGATTCATGGAATTTCCAGCCAATCATATAGTAAATTTGAAATGTGGCAGGTACTGAGCCATCGCTATTTCCATACATTTCTGTTAGGGCAGGAAGGGAGAGGAGAAAAGGTACACAAAATGTCAGCTGTAAGCAATACTTAGTTCTCTAAACACTAGAGCTGTGACATATTCATCATTATGACTCTTTGTGAAAGATTTGGGACAACAAAAATACCTCATACTGGCGCATCAACATGGTTCAAATTCTGTCGTTATAATTAAGGTTAAAAATACCTGTGAGATAATAGCATTTTGTTCTGTTCCAAAATGGTTTTGGTTGTTTGGTTTTTTTTAACACAGAGGTCAGAGAAAAAGACACAGAAAATATGCCCTTCGTGTCATTTCAGATTAACTCATTACCTCTCAAATACTTGCCTCGGTATATTGCAGCAGCTGCCAACATCGTCTCCCTGTGTAGGAGAGGTTTTCTATTCCAAGAGCAGTTACTCTCCCCCATACCTAAAAATACGTTTTAGCTTTAAGAAAAAGAAGATATAGCATATGCCATGAGTTAAGTATCATGCACTAATGACAGATTATAAACCATAATACGTACAGAATCCTCTGAATCTCACTGTAAGAGAGAACAACACACTGCCAATAAGTAGGCGAGTTTCTTACCTAGAAAAATCCAAGCCAATGCCAGTGCTTTGCAATTTACAGTTTGTATTGCTAGGACCGATATTAAATTGTTACTTCTTCAGCCTGAGTCTTCAGATATTCAGATTGTATCCTATTATTTATTTTAAGCACGAGTACAAAGTGTTTATTCAGACACACCACTTAGATGTATTTAACAGATAAGCATAAAAATTACTACTCCAAGTGATTTTAATAAAAAATAAAACAAGCACAATGCTAAACTCTGTAAGCACTGCATCTGAATGTTTCTGCAGAGAACAGAAGTCTTATTTTGAGTAAGACATTACTGTAAACAACAGCAGCTGAACAAGACTAAGAAGATGCCCTGAACTGCTCTGTAACTAACAACTGACTGCGTATGAACGACTTAGAATTGATGTAAAATGCATCCAGAATACTAACTCAGTTGTTAAACATCTCTATTGGTTTTGTTTTCTTCAGCAGACTCCAATTTGAGGGCATCTTTATTCTTATTCCACAGCAGTTTCCTAACATTTGTTTCCACAAAGTATATACTTGCCTTGCAAGTCTTCCATAACCTGAAACAACCCTGGGTAGTTGACTTGAATTTCATCAGTATCCTAAAAGAATTCAGAAGCTTAGTTTTAGAGCACAGTAGCAATAAGCCAGCTTTCAGAGCTGCTAACATATTGATTTGCCCCTTCAGTTCAAAGTCCACATTTCTCAGAAGAATTACTGTCTTAATATTTCTATAAATGTTGTGTAGTAGCCCAAATGCAATCAAATTTTAACTAAAATGCTACCATTTACAGTTTTAGAAGAAACAGCAAGAGTGCCTCAAGTTTTTTCAAGCAGGTGTAACATTCTCTGACATTTCTACAAGACAGCCATCCAAATTCTACTGGGCCCCTAGCCAAAAATACACTTCAGTTGGTTTCATTAATCACAACAAAGCTGAGAACAGAGGCAGCCCAAGCTACTTCAGACATGCGTTCAGCAAGCTGGACACCATGCAGAAGGAAGCACTGCACTACTAATATGTTCATAAATAGTATTTTTTTAATATACCAGCAGCTCTGATGTGCTGGATTGTTCTGATTGTTCTCTAATTTATAATTACCACAGTGAGGGTGTTAAAACCAGCTCTCGACAGCAGATGTCCTAAATCAGAGACAGCAGTGAATGGTGATACGTGAGGAGAAAATCCCCCTTCTCTCTCCAATTCTGCCAGCTGCAAAGAGCAGCGAAGTTCATACAGGGTGTCTCCCCCAAACATTGCACCAATGAACACTCCATCTGGCTTAAGAACTCGGTGAATCTACAAGACAGAAAAAAAATAAAAATGCTTTTTGTTATTAAGCCTATGTAACTATGAAGTTACTCAAACTTTTAAAAATTGACCTGAAAACAACCATTTTAATAGTTGTGACATACTGATATACACTATATTCTGCAAGGCAAGCTGTGCCAAAGCTTTTGGTAACGTTGCAAGATCAATAACCTGTCTAAAAAGAGACTATTTGTTCTTAAGAAACAGTGAATCCCCAGAAATTACAGTCAGGGAACACAAAATGCATTGTGGAAATTTAGGGTAAAGCTATGTTCAGCAG